AGGGGCATAAAATGCAGGGACAGTCATATACATCTATATCATTTATTAGAGTTACCGGGTTAGCCAGGCTCAGGAAGGCGTAGACAAGGCTGATGAAGGTGCCGATGAAGAGACGGGTTCTGAAGGCCCGGTAGATGGCCCGGCCAAAGGAAGCCTCAGAGACATTCTTCGTGCTCAGCTCCTCCTGCCAATGCCCTTGGATGCTGGAAGAGAATCAGGGAACACTGATGACAATTCGTCGCTTTTAAGCACAAGGGTGCTATCCCGAAAAATGCAGTTCTGAGAAAATCAAAGGTAAAGTTTTTGCCCCTTGTTCAGTTTCTTTAAAAGACCAGGAGAAGTTTTCTCTATATAACCAAACAAATAATTATACATGCCAGAGAAACCAAACTTCTCCTATAAGGAGGGCAATGCTCACTTTTGGTGTAGTTCAAAACACCCCCAAAATCTGGGTTAGCCCGATTGTCCTTAAAAGCGACCAATTCTCCCCTACGCGGACAAAACGCCTTTCACTTATTCACAGCAGTTTCGAGAAATCAATGATTTTCGGTTTTCTATGATATCTGTTGAGCGTACGGAATGGTATTCTCTTGGATTTACTTGGATCCACAACTAGAATCATAGCAGACGGTACATGTCCATAGCTGCTCATCTCTCCTTTCCACCGTCCACCCCAAGGTCTTCCTGCTAATTGTCTCCACGAGGAGCAGGTTTGAGACACGCCTGACCACTAGTGCTGGGCGGCTCGGTTCACGATTATTGAAAGCTAGGAATCGTAGGAATCGACTCCGAACCCAATTACTTTCTAATGATGTGATTTCTTCCCGAGGTTACCTAATTGGCTCCGAACATTTTCAGGATCTAGGATAACCATGATATTGGAACACCATGAAGTGTCAAATTATATTTAAAAAAAAAAAATTCTAAAAAGACAAAGAATATTTTAATGGTTGAATTAACTGGTAACCTTTTTTTTTTACGAGCAAAGGAGTTGTGGGAACTTTTCTTCTGTAGCATTAATCGTGGGAATCGGTTCGGGAATCGATTTTTCGCCCAGCTCTACTGACCACTCCTCAGAGCAAACTTTTTTTTCGCTGTGCCCCGCACACACTTTTCTTTTATTGTGCTGAGTGTGTGGGAGTCTGGCTCCTCTTGGTGCGAGATCAACCGTGATTGTACCGTGCAAAATAGTTCAGATGTCACATTTATTGGCACACAATTGCTATTGTGCGTATCATAAGAGTTCTTAAGCAGTGTATACTGACTCACCTGTGTATGCTGAACTTTGAACTGGTGAGTCGAAGGTTCTTGACGTCAGGGCCGACACCGTGTCTGAAGACGCTCCACATGAGTGAAGTCATCCAGCCGAAGGTCATGTAATTGACGCAGCCCGTGGAGTCCACAGGTAGATAGCCAGGGGGCCTAGGGGGAGAGCAAAGCAAACATGTTGTTGCTGCTGCTGTTGCTGTTGCTGATGCTGTTGCTGTTACTGATGCTGTTGCTGTTACTGATGCTGTTGCTGTGTCAGTGGTGGTGCTACCGTATTGGTAGTTGCTGTAGGAGCAGCACCCAAAGCAGCAGCAGTACTAGCAGCAGAAGGAACACCACTGCTTGCAGCAGCTTCATCAGTATCAGCTAAAACAAAAGCAAACATTAAAAAAAGCAGCAGATGCAGCTTGTTATGGTGATGGCGGAGGTGGTGGTGGTGCTGCTGCTGCTGCTGCTGCTGCTGCTGCTGCTGCTGCTGCTGCTACTACTACTACTACTACTACTACTACTACTGCTACTGCTACTGCTACTGCTACTACTACTACTACTACCACTACTACCACTACCACTACCACTACCACTACCACTACCACTACCACTACTACCACTACGACAACTACTACTACTACTACTACTACTACTACTACTACTACTACTACAACTACCACTACTACTACTACTACTACTACTACTACTACTACTACTACTACTACTACTACTGCTACTGCTACTACTACTACTACTACTACTACTACTACTAGATAGCATTTATATAGCGCAAATCCCCACTCAACAGCAAGTTCTAAGCGCTTCACAATCTATACTATTACCCCAGCAGACCTGATAGCATTCTGAAACAAACTCAACTTCCCGGGAAGCATACAGTGCAAGCAGCCATTTATGGCGTTAAAACACTAACATACTGACAAGATCTTTCGCTGCCGGGTACACATTTCCACCGGGGTGAAGTGAGGATAATTCGTGTAAAGTGCCCTTCCCAAGGACACAACGTCGGGCTCGCGGTTCAAACCCCCAACCCCGCAACCTCACGATTACGAGCCCGGTAGCCTAACCACTAGGCCACTGACGCCACAACTGCAACTAATAATACGATAAAATACCTGGAATACCTGGAAGTGTCATATCTGATTCAGAGGTTGACGTGTAATGACCCTCCATCCTAATCCTGCCTACCACCCTTCCTTCAAGCACCTCTTTCACCATGGTCTGGTGTCGTTTTAAATGACCAAAGTATTGTATTTTTCGCTTAAATTATGACATAAATTACTACATTAGTGGGGATGGTGACAGACAGACAGACAGACAGACACACAGACACACAGACACACAGATAAACAGACAGACGGACGGACGGATGGACGGACGGGCGGACAGACGGACAGACAGACGGACAGACAGACGGACAGACAGACGGACAGACAGACAGACAGACAGACAGACTGACAGAACTTACGACTTTTCACATCGCACAGGGAGCAGAGTCCTGAGGCCATGCTTGTACCGAGAGACTCCAGGCTTGCGGGTCCGGGGTCTAAACTCTGGGTCTTCACCGGACACGTTCAGGAAACTGGATGGATGGATGGATAGATGGATGGATGGATGGATGGATGGATGGATAGATGGATGGATGGATGGATGGATGGATGGATGGATGGATGGATAGATAGATAGAGAAAAAAAGTGGTAGGTCACAGATGTTTCATCTCCACACCTCAAACACCAGCAAAACGTCTTTAACTACACCATATCCTCCTATTTTAAGCGGCATTTGAAATGTGGTTGAGTGACAGTTATATTATAATAAAAAAACAACAACCCAATCGACGCAGAAGTAATCTGATTACTCGCTTCGGGCAAAAAGGTGACGACGAATATTTCCTGAAATACACGTGAGAGTAGACGAACTTTCCTGTCTTTAGTATTAGTACATGAACTATTATACTATTTCCAGCTCAGAAATGAAAAATAATGCGTAGGTGCGTATTCTGAATAACCCAGTTGAACCGAACAATAATCTTGCACCAGATGGCCTCTCGAAGGCCAGACAAAAGAGCGGAGGACACTTATTGGAATTGTTAGTAGTTTTAATAGAGGTTTTATGGCGCTTGCAACTGCAAAAGGTCATATGAGCGCCAGAAGATTAGAGGTGTTACAAGAGAGTAACAAACATAAAAAAGAAGAAGGGGAGATAAGGACGATAGATGTTTGATAGGAAAGAAGAAGCAAACCACACCAGAGCACCCGCCAACCACCCACACAGATTGGAATTGTCGCCGGGGACTCTCCAGCTATAATATCTTCTCTTGTCTATATCTTCACTTCGTGGGTGGTTGGCGGGTGCATTTGCTACACAGTAGTTTCGTAGTCGTAGCAGTGCCGAAGATTGGAGGTGTTACCAGTGAGTAATAAATACCATATTATTAAGGAGGAGAGATATTCATAAGAACGATATAATATAGATGTTTGACAGGAAAAAAAGAGGAGCAAACCGAACCCCACCGCAGTACCTGCCACCCATCAACTTCCGAATAGACGAGGACAATTTCCATTTGCCGTACAGATAATAAATAATAAAAATAAATAGCATTTATACTGCGCATTTCCATTTTCTTAAAAAAAAATGCTCACTGCGTATTACATCGAAAAAGACGTCACATCTTAAAAATTAATCGACATGCGAGTACGTAAAACAAAGTATTATGCATATAATATCTATGTATGTGTGTAAAAATTTCTCATTCGTGTACGTAAAACAAAGCATATAATATTATATTATGTAAAAATTTCTCCCCCCCCCAAACCCCCCCCCAAACAGTCTCGAAGTTAGGTTGGAACAGCGTACAGTAAAAATATACAATGCAATAAAAATTCACGAACGGTCACAGTAAAATCGAAACGTGAGTAACTAGAAACATTCATTAAAGAAGTCTGACGTCATCGACTTGGCGGTGAATAGAATTAAACGGGTTTTTACCCTGGCGTTCTTAGTAAAGTACGGTATGGTTTTTACCTAACGATATTATAGCTGTGTGCATTTACGCCCTCATTGGCACACGTTAGATCATTTAAGAGGAAACCTTCGAACCCGCCTGCCACACTGGAAGGATAAGGATGCAAAATCCCAACAGAAATACAGAGAGGTTCGATAAATGGTCGCTTTTGAGCACAAGGGGGCTATCCCGAAAAATGCTGTTTTGAGAAAAGCGAGTGTAACGTTTTTGCCCCTTGTTCAGTTTCTTTAAAAGACAAGGAGAGTTTTCTCTATAACCATTCAAATATACACACTTATGAAACCAAAATTCTCCTCTAGGTAGGGCAATCCTCACGTTTGGTGTAGGTCAAGATTTCAGAAAAAACCCGAAATCTGGGTCAGCCCACTTGTCCTTAAAAGCGAACAAATATAATTATTCTCCACACCTAGGAATCGAATTCAGGCCTCCTGCGTGTGACAGTTAAGCCTTTAACCACTATACCCCC